ATAACTGTGGAAGCTGAGTGGTCTCTGATCGTTGATCAAGTGTGAAGAAAGTGATCAAGTTCCTTGTTCTATCTACGGTGCTGAATGAGCAGAATATATACACCAATGCTCATCCAGCTATACCCTAATTGGAGCCCTAATCACGGCTCCAAGCTATACTTGATTCCGCTCACCATGGCGTGATAGATCGCCAGTGTCTGATCGGTCCAATATCTAGATGCGGATCACGTGATATGCACCCTCACCTCGATCCTTGCTGCGACACAAGCGCATACTACTAGCTTAAACTTCAACATGGATACAACAAAGCATACCTATACAATAGACAAAAAACAGAAAGCTCTAAATGCAGCTGTGGATATACACAAACACCTTAACACCTACTGCTTAGCTGTAGAAACTACAGAGAAGCAAGAAAAAAAAATAAAGAGCAGCCTACAGGAGACAAGACTTACAATGTCTCTTCTCCTAGACACAAACAGAGGAATCTAAGCTACACTAGCTTTTATTCAAGAAACTAAAGTAGGCACACGCAAGTGGTACCTACAGCAAACAACAGACAACTAATTTCCTTTGTTTATAACGTACCCCACGGGCGAGTCGGACACACGGGCGAGTCGGACACTTTTGCCAAGATCCTACCAAAACGGTGTACAATGCCTCTCCACAAACGCCAGTCAGACGCGTTAAAAGAAGCTCAGATACAGCTTGCGCTTCAAGCTCTTAAACAAGACGCAACTCTCTCTCTACGGCGCGCTGCAGCTATCTATAGAGCTCCCCTACAGACACTAAGCGACCGACGCGCTGGACGACCTTCACGAGTTAATTCTATGCCCAAATCACGGAGCCTAACTAATACTGAGGAGCAGGTGATTGTTAATTATATACTTGAGCTAGACGCGCGAGGATTTTCCCCTCAGCTAGCAGCTGTGGCTGATATGGCCAATTCTTTGCGCGCTGAGCGCAGTCTAGGCCATGTTGGCCTAAACTGGCCCAGTACGTTTATTAAGCGCCAACCAGAGCTCAAAGTGAAGTTTAATCGCAAGTATGACTACAAGAGAGCCCTCTGCGAGGATCCTGAGATAATCCAGGGCTGGTTTGGCCTGGTAGCCAATATCAAAGCCAAGTATGGCATCCAGGATGACGACACGTACAACTTTGATGAGACAGGCTTTATGATGGGCTAGATATCCACTAGAGCAGTTGTCACAGCTTCAGAGAGACAAGGACAGCCAAAGCAGGTCTAGCCAGGCAATTAGGAGTGGACAACAGTTATTAAGGGCATTAATGCTAAAGGGTGGGCTATTCCGCCCTTTATTATCTTCTAGGGCCATGACTACCTCTTAAACTAGTATAAAGAGGATAATCTGCCCTATAATTAGGTTATTAGGGTCTCTAAGAACAGCTAGACTACTAGCAAACTTAGTCTTAACTAGTTAAAGCACTTTAACGCGCATACAAAGGAGCGTACTATTGGCAGCTACTGTCTGCTAGTTATTAATAGTTATAAGAGCTATAACTCACTAGATTTCCAGGAATACTGCAGGGATAACAAGATTATTACTGTATGTATGCCTCTACACTCATCGCATCTCCTGCAGCCACTTAATGTAGGCTGTTTTGCCCCTCTAAAGAAGGCGTATAGGCGCCAAGCTAAAGACCTTATACTTAACTAGATTAACTACATTACAAAGCTTGAGTTCCTGTTATGCTTTAAAGCAGCCTATAATGCTGTATTTACCTTAAGCAATATCTAAGGAGGGTTCTAAGGCGCTAGACTAGTCCCCTTTAACCTAGAACAGGTTATAATAGGGCTTAATGTGAAGCTGCGCACTCTATCACTACAACTCCCTAATAATAACAAGCCCTAGCAGTTGTAAACCCCTAGCAATACCCTAGAACTTTAGTTGCAATTAACTCTGATTTAAGAGAAGTATAAGAAGCAGCAGGGTAGCTCACCTAATTCTGTGCTGAGCGCGCTTGAGCACTACGCAAAGGGGGGAGCGATTCTATCGCACAAGCTAGCTTTGGCGCAACAGGAGAACGCTGAGCTTCACGCAGCTCTAGCAGCTGCCACAGAACGTAAATCGCGCAAAAGAAAGCGAATCTAGAAGGAAGGGACCCTTACAGTTAAGGAAGGGCAGCGGATAGCAGCTCTAAAGGATTGATTGATAGGGGCACAATAGAGTATAGTAAAGCAGCATTGTTAGTAGCTAGAAGTGCAGCTGCAGCTTGTACGGTGTTAAAGAAAGCGCGTAGTAGTAGTAGTCAAGAGTAATTGATTGATTGATTGATTGATTGATTAATTGATTAGTTTAACGTCCTGTGTGAGTCTAAGACTATATAGGACGAGAGTAGTTAGGCTGCTCTAGTAATTTACAAGTTTTTCTGTGTAAGGCATGAGTATATATAGGTTCGTAGACATATAATGAGAGCCTGTGCTCTAGTTATAAACAAAGGAAATTAGTTGTCTGTTGTTTGCTGTAGGTACCACTTACGTGTGCCTACTCTAGTCTCTTAAATAAAAGCTAGTGTAGCTTGGATTCCCCTATTTATGTCTAGGAGAAGAGGCATTGTTAGCCTCGTCTCCTGTAGGCTGCTCTTTATTTTCTTTCTTGCTTCTCTGTAGTTTCTACTGCTAAGCAGTAGGTGTTAAGGTGTTTGTGTATATCTACAGCTACATTAAGAGATTTCTACTTTTTATATATTGTGTAGGTATGCTTGATTAATTGATTGATTAGTTTAACGTCCTGTGTGAGTCTAAGACTATATAGGACGAGAGCAGTGAGGCTGCTCTAGTGATTTAAAAGGTTTTTTTTCTGTGTAAGGGAATAGTATATATAGGTTTGTAGACATATAGTGAGAGCCTGTGCTCTAGTTATAAAGAAAGGAAATTAGTTGTCTGTTGTTTGCTGTAGGCACTACTTACGTGTGCCTACTTTAGTTTCTTGAATAAAAGCTAGTGTAGCTTGGATTCCCCTTTTTGTGTCTAGGAGAAGAGACATTGTGAAGGTGTTTGAGTATATCCACAGCTACATTTAGAGCTTCCTGTTTTTTAATTATTGTATAGATATACTTTGTTGTATCTATGTCCAAGCTTTAGCTGGTAGTATGCGCTTGCAATTTCTCTTCTAGTGTTTTTTAGCAGTGTTATCTTGCTTGTTGGATTTAGTAAGAATCTTGCTGCATAGGTGCTAGGATTTCTAAGCTTTGCTCTTGTAGAGTAGGCTTAGAGTTTCTGTTGCCACTCTTGTCTTGTAATAGCTTTAATCCTAATACCTGTTATTGCAAGGCTTGTAGTATTAGATACTAGCTGCTGTTTTGTAGCTTGTTTTGCCAAGGCGTCTGCTTTTTTGTTTCCTGTAATATCTAGGTGTCCTGGGGTCTAGTGTAGGCTAGTTGTTGCGCCTTTACTGTATTTTTGCAGTGGATTTGCCAAGCTTGTCTAGGGTTATTAGAAGGAGTCTTTAGCCTTAGAATAGCTGCCTGGTTATCTGCAAAGACTTTGATCTCTTGTCCTGCTGTAGCTATAGAAGCTGCATACTTAAAGGCTCTTGTTATGCCTTCTAGCTCTCTATTGTATACAATCTAGCCTTTGCCTATATTATATTTAGTAGAGTAGATCTCCTTAGCCTACTGTTTGTAGTCTAGAGCAGTAACTCCTATTCCTATTCCTGTGCCTTTCTTAATAGAAGAGGCGTCTGTGTAGATAGCAAGTAGGTTGTCTCCTAATCTCTATAGCATTTGCGTTTTGTGTTGCTCTGCTTCTTCTTCTTTAGACAGTTTAGAGATCTCTGCTGTGTATAATATAGTCTTGTTCCAGGGGCAGAAATAGTAGTCCTGCAGTTTTTCTTCTTCTGTGCTAGGAGTAGCGTCTTGTATTAATTGTACAATTTACATAAGCTAAGTAGGTAGGCCTCTTCTTAGCCTTAGGAGAGTAGCTACTTCCTCTTATTCTGTGCGAGACTCTAAGTCTTCTTGTTGTAACTATAGAGTAGCTTTTAGAGTCTTAATTACAATATAAACAGGGTGGTCTTTAGGTAGCTTTCTAGCTCTAAAGGCGTACTTTCTAAGAGCAGTATTTAGTCTTATAGCAGGGGGAGGAAGTGCTGCTTCTGTCTCCTGTGGTGCTATAGGAGAGGTCCTAAAGGTTCCTAGGATTTTTCTTAGGGTAAGATTCTGTAGTCCTTAGAGTTGCTTTGTTATTCCTGCTTGTTATTTCTAGAAGACCCAGCAACTATAATCTGCAATGCTAGAAACGCATGCTAAGTATAGCTGTCTTATAGCACTAGGAGGGAGGCCTCTATTGCTGTTTGCAAGTCTGCACATTCTATAGAAAGCATTTCTTGCTTGGCTAATCCTTGTAGCTACTTGTTCTTTAAAGGAGAGTGCGTTGTTAAAGTAGATTCCTAGCCACTTTACTGTCTTTTTAGGCTCTATAGTAGACCTGTCTAGTAGTGTAAGTGTAGAGCTAATAGCTTTGTTGCTTATTATAAAGTAAATAAGCTCTGTCTTTGCTGCATTAAATTGTATAGCGCAGCTTGCTCCTTTAGCAAGTAGGCTTGCTATGTCTTTTTCTAGCATGCGGACATTCTTCTTTAGGCTAGTAGAAGATGCTATAATTGCTAGGTTATCTAGGTAGGATAGGGAGTAGTTTGTAATAGACTAAAACAGAGGTCTAATATATATTAGAAACAGGATTAGTAAGACAGGGCTACCTTGTGGAATTCCTGCTGTAATGCTGCTAAAGCCTTCTATTTCTTTATTAAAGGACAGTCTTAGCTAGCGCTTAGATAGGAATAATTAAACCTATGCTATTAAGTTGCAAGGTAGCTGTAGCTATTGTAATATAGCAAGTAGCTAGTTTAGAGCGACGTGGTCAAAGGCACCTTTAATATCTAGGAATACTGTAGAGGTTGTGCGTTTTAGTTTTCTTTGCTCTTGGACCTGGTTTAGCAGCAGTATAGATGCGTCTATTGCGGATTTTTGTGCTCTTCCTCCTAGTTATGAGGGGTGAAGAAGAACTGTTGTTTCTTTAAGAGTTCTAAGGCGTTTTGCTACTACTCTTTCTACAACCTTGCCTAGGCAGCTAAGCAAGGCAATTACTCTATAGGCTTTAGGTACAGCGTAATTAGGCTTGTTTAGCTTTTTTAGGATAATTCCTGTTGCTTTCTTCTATTCCTATAGGTAGTAGCTGTAGTTAAACAAAGTAGAGAAAATATAAAAGAATATTTATGTCTGTGCTTTATATGCTGTAGTAATAATCTCCTGTGTTAGGGCGTCTAGTCCTGGAGAGCTGCTTTGGATTTGTGCTGAGCAAGCGTATTCTAGCTCTTCTATAGTAAGATTAGGCCATTCCTAGTTGCTTGGTTGGTAGTTGTCCCACTCTATAGGCCTAGAGGCAGGAGGGCTAGGGAAGAGAGTTTCTCTTAGTGCAGAGCATTTGCCTTAAAAAGATTCCTCTATTCCTCTTAGCCCTTAGATAGCAGGTATGTTCTAGCTATAAGTAGTTCTAGTATAAGCTATAGCTTTAAAGATTAATTTAGGGTCCTCTCTCTCTAGGAATTAGTTCTGATGGTCGCGT